CCTGGAGTCAGGAAGACCTGAGTTCAAATGTGGCCTCAGACACTTAATAGCTATGTGACCCTAGGCAAGTCACTTAACCTTGTTTGCCTCACTTTCCTCGATTCTAAAATGAGCTGAAGAAGGAAATGGCAAAACATTCCAGCATCTTTGCCAAGAAAACCCCAAATGGGGTCAGGAAGAGTTGGACATGACTGAAAAAACTGAAAAACAACAAAGTCTTTGAGGAGGGCTGACTTCAGAGAGTATAACTGCACCCTTCCATATCGCATCCTGAGGGACCCTAGGCTGGGGGACATTATAGAGTTATCCCAGGGCAGAAACTGCCATGGGCTTAGGACCCTAGGAAGCCAAACTTCTAGTGAACAGAGTAACAAATCTGAAGTCAAGAAGACCTGAGTTCAAATCTAGCCCTGGACACTTAGGAATTGTCACCTGGTACAAATCAGTTAACCTCCCTCAACCTCAGTTTCTTTACCTGTAAAACAGAGATAATAATTGCACACACCTCCCAGGGTAGTTGTAAGGATAAAATGAAATAATATTTGTAAATAGCTCTGCAAACCTTAAAGTGCTACGTAAATGCTAGCTATTATGATTGTTATTATTAAACAAGGGGCAGTTTGGAGGTAGGCTGGAAAGAAATTGGGCAGTAGTCATCCAAAATACTGACTGGATTCTGTCTCTCATATCTTTTTGTCTATAAAGAGAGGCTGACATAATAAGTTTGAAACAAGGGCGTATGCTAGCCAAGAGGAGTTTCTTAGCCCAGGAACCAAGGCAGCAAGGGAAGAGGATGAGTATGGGGGAAGGGGAGACGTGGCTGAACTGCTGGAGGTCACGTGGGATAAGGATAAGTGGAAGGAGACAGAGAGAATCCCCAAACTAATTGCCTTGCTACAAATTGGAAGTAGGCACTTTCCCCCACCCCTCACCAGGTAATAGAGAAAAGCCTCCAGGTTTTCATTATTTCCCCCGCCACCCCCCCCCCCAAGCATCAGGCTTTCCCTTTGCTACCCAGGAAGATATTTAAACAAGGGGTGTTCACAGAATCACAGAAGAATCACAGGATCTCAGCTGGAGGCTACCTCAGAGATCACAGTCCAACCCCCTTATTTTGCTGATAAGGAAACTGGTGTTCAGAGGGGGAAATGACTCACACATTGAGTTATTTCCAGAAAAGCCAGAACTAACAACTCACATTTCCATAACACTTTCAGATTTGCAAAGAGTTTTTCTCACACTAGCACTTTTAGGTAAGTAGGGTTACATTTGGGGGCTTTTGGGTTTTAGCTGTTTTTTCTTTTTTTTTTTTGTTTCTTATACAGACTTAAGATTTAATTGGCATTCTTAAATGAAAATATCCCCTCTACCAATGCAGGTCAGCAACCATCCTCCAATTTAGGGTTTTAGAAAGCTGCCTGAGGTACTGAGAGGTGAGCATCACACAGTGAGTATGTGTCAGGGGTGGGACTAGAACCCAGATCTCCCAGATTCTGAGGCTGCCTAATCTCTGCCCCCTACCTCCCAACCCCCTATCTTTTTTTTTTAAGACAATTGGGGCTAAGTGACTTGACCAGGGTCACACAGCCAGTAAGTGTCAAGTGTTTGGTCTGAGGATTTGAACTCAGGTGCTCCTGACTTCAGGGCCAGTGCTCTATCCACTGTGCTACCTAGCTGCCCCACATCCCCCTATCTTTACACTGGCTATCCCCTGTGCCTGGAATGCTCTCCCTCCTAAAAGCCTGACTTCCTTGAAGATTTAGCTAACATGCCACTTTCTATTAGAGACCTTTCCTGGTTTCCCCAAACACTTGTATTTTCTCTTCTAAAGCTATCTTCCAACAACTCTGTGTGTTCCTTGTATGTACCTATTTATTTGCATGTTGTCTTCTATTAGAATGTAAGCTCCTGGAAGGCAGGGACTATTTTGTATTTCTTCGTATCTCCTGCACTTAGCAGGGTGCCTGGCACATAGTAAGGGCTGAATGATTGTTGATTGATTATGTCTGTTGATTGATTATGCCAAACTGTTATTATTATCTCCATTTGACAAATGAGGACATTAGACAGAAAGAGAGGGAGTGACCTGTCCAAGGGCACACAGTAAGTGGCAAGGCTAGGATTCAAATCCAGGTTTCTTTATTCTTAAGTCCAGCATTCTCTCTGTCAATGCCATGAATCATGGGGCTTTGCTTGACCTACTTTGGGGGCTGAATCTAGAACCAGAGAATCTCAGCATGTGTGAATTCTTTTGAGAAGGGGCCTTACTGGTCATTTAGAAGACCCCATTCCTGAAAGGAATTCCTGCCTTAACATCCCGAGAAGTGGTCATCCAGTCTCTCTGTTTGTGATCTGGAAACCAGAACCTTGTCCTAACTAGCATCTAACAGGAGCTTCAGAAATGTTTGTTGACTGATTTGTCATCCCATTCCTTGAGCCTTCCTTCATGTGGCTCTGTGCTCCCATTTCTCTTTGATAATAATAAAAGCTGGGGCAGCTAGATGGCACAGTGGATAGAGCACCATCCCTAGAGTCAGGAGGACCCGAGTTCAAATTTGGTCTTAGACCAGACACTTGACATTTTTCCCTGTGTGACTCTGGGCAAGTCACTTAATTCCAATTGCCTCACAAATAATAATAATAATAAAAACTCACATTTATATAGTGTCTACTATGTGGCAGGCACTGTGCTAAGCACTTTTACAATTATCTCATTTGATCCTCACAACAACCCTGGGAGGTAGGTGTTATTATTATCCCCATTTTATAGGTGAGGAAACTGAGGCAATTAGAGATGAAGTGACTTGCCCAGGGTCAAAGGGCTAGTAAATATTTGAGGCCAGATTTGAACTCAGGTCTTCCTGACTTCAGGCCAGGTGCTCTATCCACTGTGTCACCTAGCTGCCCGGCCACAAAGGTCCTACCTCAAAGGTGAGTTTGTTCTTCTCCTCATTGGCAAAGGGCACAGCCTCACTGACTACATTGTTGAGATAGTCTTCCACAAACTCCATGGTGTTGGCAAACTTATTCTTCTTATCATCCCGGGAGTCATTGAGGTTGGAGTCGTAGCTAGAACAGGGTGGGAAGATGGGGTTGATTGGAAAGAGTAGAGAGAAAGGAAGGCAGGTAAGGGAATCAAGCCCCTTCCTTCTCCCTGGGTACTAGGAGCCCCCACCTCAATCTAGAAGCCCCCACCTCAATCTAGAAGCCCTTACCCCAATCTAGAAGCCCCCACCCCAATCTAGAAGCCCCCCATCTCAATCTAGAAGCCCCCACCTCAATCTAGAAGGGTACCCATTCTTCACCCTCTGGCCCCACTTCCTTATTTCCTGCCCCCCCTTATGGTCACTTTGGCTGTCATGGACCCAGGCCTCACTCCTTGATGGTGATGGCTGTGGGGATCTCTGTCCAGAGGCGGGCGAACTTGACCGGGGTGACAGGCTCCTGGGGGTCTCGGTCCACATGCACATGCAGCATGAGATGACAAAAGGAGGCACGTAGGTCAAAGGGCAGCATCTCGTCCGCCATACACAGGAAGATCAGATCCACACCCAGCTGTTGGGAGATCTCATGGATAGCCAGATACTGACGATCCAGGCACATGCGGGCAAACAGCTTCAGCTGGTATCTGTGGCAGGGAAGGGAAAGAGAAGGATGACAGGGGCAGAGGGGGTGAGAAGAAGTAGTGACGAATCACAAAACCTCAAAATTGGAATGGACCTCAGAGTCTGTACTCAAGAAGAGATCTTCTCTGTCAATCAGTAACAAACATTTATTTTGTTTTGGTTTTTTTGCTAGGCAATGGGGTTAAGTGACTTGCCCAGGGTCACACAGCTAGTAAGTGTCAAGTGTCTAAGGCCAAATTTGAACTCAGGTCCTCCTCACTTCAGGGCCAGTGCTCTATCCACTGCACCACCTAGCTGTCCCACAAACATTTATTAAGCACCTACTATGTGCCAGGCACTCTGCTAAAGGCTAGTAATACAAAGGCAAAATCAACAGTTCCTGCCCTCAAAGAGCTTACATTCTAATCAAGGAGGCAATATGTATATACAAGCATATACAAAGTAAACACAAGGTAATTTAGAGAAAAAGGCATTAGCAGTTAAGGGGATTAGGAAAGGCTTCATATAGAAGCTGGTATTTGAGCTGAAGGAAACAAGAGATTCTATAAGATGGAAGTGAGAAGGTAGTCCCTTCCAGGCATGGGAGACAGACAGTGCAAAGGCATTGTTGGGAGATAGCACATTGGGGGTATAAGGAACAGCAAGAAGACCAGCTCACCAAAACAGTAAGGTGTGTGAAAAAGAGTAATAGAATATGATTAATAAGGCCAGAAAGGTAGATTGGGGTTAAGTTGGGAAGAGTTTTCCATGCCAAACACAGCAGCCTATATCTGATCCTAAAGGCAATACAGAGCCACTGGAGTTTACTGAGCAGGTGAGTGACATGATCAAATCGATGCTTTTTTTTTTGGTTAGGCAATGGGGTTAAGTAACTTGCCAGGGTCACACAGCTAGTAAGTATTATGTGTCTGAGGCCGGATTTGAACTCAGGTCCTCCTGAATCCAGGGCTGGTGCTCTATCCACTGAGCCACCCACCTGCCCCCCCCCCCTTTTTTAAAGGAAGGTCATTAGCAGCTGGGTAGATGATGACTTGGAATAGGAAGAGACTTGAGGCTTTACAACATCTCTGGCAAGTGGTCATCCAGTCTCTGTTCAAAGACTTCCAGATAAGGGGAACCCACTAAGTCCCAAGGAAAAGACATGCTACCTTTGGACAGCTCTAATTGTTTTTTTGGTTTTTTTTCCGCCTTTTCAGGCCAAAACCTGCCTCTTTGAAGCTTCTACCCATGCTCCTATTTCATAGGATTAAGCAGAATAAGCCCTACCCCTCTCCACATGGAACCCTTCAGATACTTGAATACAGTTTAAGAAGGGGCAACAAGTGGGTGGGGGCAGAACAGGGTAAAGGTCAAAGGGGGAGGAAGAAGGAAACTATGGCTGTGTCTGCCCAGGGTGAGTCAAAGCAATGCTGTTCAGGCTGCAGTGGGAGGGATCCAGATTAGACCAGGAATCAGCATCTTACAGGGCTTACGTGCTGAGTCTTCCTTTATTCACTCTCCCAAGCCAAGGGAAGGTGAGCCAGGTGGGGGGGAGGGGAAGCAGCTCAGCCACGAGGCAGTTACACTCCAAGACCAGACGAGCTGAGACTTCAGCAGGGATTCCCTGGCGATCAGCCCGGTGAAAGGATGGGGCACAGAGCCATGACAGTGGGGAGAGGAAGCCAAGAGACGGAGATGGGAGGAGACCGCATCATGCTTCACCATCTCCACATTTATACTGGGGACTGGCCCAGCCTGGCCCTCTCCAAACTTGCAGGCCACCTTTGGCGGTGTAGCAGGAGTTGCCAACCCCTGATCTAGACAGCTTGGTGGTGGCATGGGTAGAGTACTGGACTTGGAGTCAGGAAAACCTGAGTTGGAATCGTGCCTCAGACCTTTACTAATTGTGTGACCCTGGGCAGGTCACTTAACCTCTATCTGCCTCAGCTTCCTCATCTATACAATGGGAAATAGTAATAACAACATTTTTCCTTCTATGGTTGTTGTGAAAATCAAGTAAGAAATACATGTAACGTACTTAGCAAACCTTAAAGCACAATGTTATTATTATTATTATTATCATCATCATCATCATCATTAGTGATGATGATGATGATAATGATAATAATAAAACACAGTTATGGGACTTCCACCTATAAGAGGGAGAGATCCATTCTGAGTATTTTCTATTACAGAGTCATCTAAACAAAAAGGTAAGTAGCTCGCTCTGCTCCCCCCACAGAGGAGGCAGAGGTGAGGAGGGAGGGCATTCCGTCGTGGGGAGGGGCCAGGAAGCCAATAGAAAGGCACAGAGATTGTCGAGCTGGATGGGCTCCATGGAGCTCCCTACCTGTAGTAGCTGAGCACGTTCTCATCGTGGGCGTTGCCTGCCCGGGCCTCCTGGGCCAGCTGCCGAATGCTCTTCTCATGGTGTTCGTTATTCTTGTCACTCCAAGTTAGCCAGACTTCCTCCTCTGAGTATTCAATGCTCAAGTACTCATGGGACTGAGACATTTCCTTCACTGGTCGCAGCCTGTGGGGAAAACACCCAGTCAGGTTGAGCCCCAGCTTGAGAGCCCCTTTCTTCCAGAACCCTAGGGTTCTAACCCAAGTTACTTCTCATCCTGAGGAAATCAGAGACTCTGAGAACTGGGAGAACCCCTGGAGATCACAAATTCTACCCAGGGGTATGCTGGAGCCAGCTCAGATGGGTTTGAGAGAAACCAATTGTTTTAATTTTCAGAGTGAGCATTTACACCTCAGAAACCAAACATTACAAATTGATTTACTGTTCTGTTTATTGTCTATAAGTAACAGAGCGATGGAAAAATTTGTTAATAATGTAGATTAAATTTAAAAGTGTAGCAGAGCATTCCTTTTTTGGGGAAAAGGAAATTTGTTGTTAAACGTTTACCAGCACACCCCTGAAGTTAGAAGACATTCTGTCTAACATCTTCATTTTTGTATATCATTAGAATCACAGAAGAGAGCTAGAAAAGACCTTAGAGGCCATTGAGTTCAACTCCAATATTTTATAGATGAGGAAACTGAGGCCCATAGAGGTTTAAGTGACTTGCCAGGGTCATATAGCTATTAAGTATAAAAAGCAGGATTTGAATCTAGATCCTTTAACTCCAAATCCCGAGTTTTTTCTACCGTACCATGGGTAACATTCCTTCTGGCAAAGTTTGGACAGTTTGCCTTTCAAGGGGATCTGAGTCAATAAAGCCCCTAAGAGTTATATCTTTATCAACATGGGTCCCCTCACAAGGCAACCCATCTAAGTTTTGCCAGAAAGAATGCTACATATCTTATTCTTCCTTTATATTCCCCACCCTGTGCTCATTACATACTATAGACATTCAATATATACATTTAAGCTGAGAGTGGGGTGGGCAGCTGGGATGGGGAAGAAAATATGCAACAGCTTCAACATGAACTCCTAGACAAAGCCCCAGGTTCTCTGGTCGGGGAAACGAGAAATGATTGGGATCAAGATGAGGGATCTTAGTATGCTAGGAGTGAGACGATCCTGGTTTAGACCCAAGGAGTAGGAGAGGACCAGGCAGGGCCTTGCTAATGAGGGAGAAGGAAAGGAGGAAAGAGAAGTAAATGGGGAGAAGACCCAGTCCTCACTCTGTCTTGATGAGAATGTCGCTGTTCTTGGGGTCCAGGACACATTTGCAGATGAGCTCCTGGGTAACAGGGATGGCAATGTGGTTGGACACACACAGGTCAGAGAGATAGTCCAGGAACCTGAAGAGATGAGCAAAGAAGGAGTCATTTTGTGGTGATTTCCTGGGCTTATTAGGGTGTCCATCAATGAGGAATGACTCTATAAATTATGGTATAGGAATGTAAAGGAATATTGTTGTTTTGTAAGAACTGATAAAAGGGTCAGTTTCAAGAAACCTGGAAAAATATATATGAACTGATTCAGAGAAAAGTGAGCAGAACCAAGGAAACAATTTATATAGTATATAACAACATTATAAAGACAATTTTTCAAAGACTTAAAGAACTCTGATCAATGCAATAATCAACCATAATTCCAGAGGACTGATGAAGAAGCATGCCACTTACCTCCTTCCAGAGAAGTAGTGGATTCAAGGTGCCAAATAAAGCATGTATTTTTGGACATGGACCAATGCAGGAAGTCATTTTGCTTAACTATGCATAGTTATGTTAGGGTAACTAGGTGGCACAACAGATAGCTGGGAAGCCTGGAGTCAGGAAGACCCGAGTTCATATCCAACCTTAGACACTTACCAATTCACTCCCATTGTGACCTTGGGCAAGTTACTTAACCTCTAAATGCCTCAATTTCCTCCTTTATAAAATGGGGATAATAATAGCATCTGCCTCCCAGAGTTGTTGTGAGGATCAAATGAGATAATATTTTTAAAGTGCTTAGCATAGTGCCTGGCACATAGTACATGCTCTATAAATGTTAGCAATTATTATTAAAAGTGTTTGAGTTTTCTTTTTTAATGGTGGGGCCCCAGTGGGAAGGAAAGAAAATGTTCTATTAATTGAAAAAATTAAATTTAAAGCCACCAAGTTGTTCTTTCTCAATAGACCATTTCAATTCTTCCCCAGAGGATCTCCTACATGCCCCTACCACCACTACCTTGAAGCCTTTCCTGATAACTCTAATTAATAGTCTCATCCCCAATTTACTTTGTTTTACTTTGTATATATTAAATATTTACTTATTACGTATGTGTGTGTATACATATATATGTAGAATGTAAGCTCCTTGAGGGCAGAGACTGTTAATAACAATAATAGCTAGCATTTATTTAGAACTTTAAGGTTTACTAAGCACTTTACAAATATTTTATACTTACAATAACACTGGGAAGTAGGTGTATTTCATTATCCCCTTTTGACAGACAAGAAAACCGAGGGAGATAAGTTAAGTGACTTGTCCAGGGTCATACAACTAATTGTCTAAGGCAGAATGTGAACCCAAGTCTTCTCAATTCCAAGTCTTGTACCGTATCTACTGTGCAACCTAGCTACCTACTAGGCTAATTAGCTACCTGATAGGCACCTAATAAATGCTTCCCTGATTGACTGACTGTGGAGAGAGGCCAAAGTTGAAAGACTGTTGTGTTGGAAGAGGCCTCAGAAGTAAAAGAGTCTGCTTCCTACCCAAATCATGAATCCTAACTACAATACCCCCAACAAGTAGCCATTGGTTCCATTGTCAAAGACCTCTAGCTACAGTCAAATTACTCTCACTCACAGCAGCCTATTCCACAATTTGATGGCTCTAATCAGGGGTCAGAAGTGGGACTCTTGGGTTGTCATATAATCTCCCCCACAACTTGCTGCCCAGTTGATTCACTGAGTTTGACTCAAGAATCACTTCACCCTTTCTTCAAGTAATTTTAATGAGAGTCACCAACAAGAAAGGAATGGGAAATGAGGCAAATGAGAGGGAGATGTGAAGGACTGAAAATGAGTAGAGGGTCATATGATCATGGTCATGGCTTAACAGGAAGACAGAAGTCAAATGGGGGAGTAGAAAAATGAGGGATGGAGTACACAGGCATAGAGAGTGAGAGATGAATGAGTACAAGAAGAGGGCGATGATAAATGGAGGTTATGTTGAGGGTGAATGGTGGTGAGTAGGGTGGTGAGTGAGTGATGAATTAAAAGTAAGATGGTAAGATAAGGGGATGACTGGAGAAGGAAATGAATGGAAGGTAATGTGATGAGTTGGAAGCAAATGAAGGGTAAGAGGGATGAGATGAAGGTAACTGGAGAATAGAGAGTGGAGAAAAGTACAAGGGAGTTAGAGATAGAATGAAGGGATAGATATTAAAGTGCAGGATAAGCAGATAAGTTGGGAATTAACAGAATGTAGGGGAATAAGGAGAAAGTGAATAGAGAATGAATGGGAAGTAAGCAGGAGATGGAGGGTGAATAGGGATGAGTTAACTTAAGTGTGAATGGAGAAGAGAAGATGAAAAGGGAGAGAGTAGGGAAAAGGGGATAAGTAGGGGTGAGTAGAAGGCAAGAAAATAAGTTAAGAATAAAAGAAGAAATAGAGATGGAGTGAATGGAAAAGTAGAGGGATGACTGCACTGTTATAGGGGGATATCAGACATACAAGCAAGGGACATATGAGGGAAAGGGAGCAGTCCCCTGACCTGGGTTCCCGATTCTTGCGCACAAGGCTCACAAATGTCTCCACTTCTGTCTTAGTAATGTGCTTCTCCAGGAGTTTCCGGTTGTTGTGCAACAAGGCAGTGATGGTATCCTCAGCAAGGATGTCATAGCCAATCTGCGACTGCATCATCCCAAACTGCTTGGCTATATGCTCCTGGAAAGGATGGAGTTGGGGACAGATCAAAAAGAGCCCAACACCATGTTCCCTGGTTCTGCCCCACAATCCTCCCTTCTCCCCAGACTCTCAAGGGCCTGGCTGGGCAGATGGGTGGGAAAGGGACAGAAGAGAGACCAAAGACTTAACAGGGCTTAATCTATGGGAAAGAGATAGCCTCCCCAGACTCTGGCCTTGAAAGTCAAACAGAAGAGTTTGAACTTTACTAGGGAGGCAACAGAAAGCTATTGAAGAAGTAGAGCGATAGTGGAAAGAACATTGGCTCCGGAGTTCGACAGAACCAGGGTTTAAATCCCACTGCTGACAATTAACTACCTTTGTGACCTTGAGTAAATCACACTTCAACGGGTCTCAATTTCCTTATCTGTAAAATGAGGAGGTTGGACCAAATGGCGTTTGAGGTCCCTTCCAACTCTTCAAGATCTACAATCCCATAAGATTTTTGAGCAGAAGGATGATAGGATCAGAAGTACACATAGAGGAAGATTATCCCAGCAGTTCATGAAAGCTGGATACAAGAGGGAAGAAGATGGAAAACCTGAAAGAAGCAATAGTGTAGACAAGCAGCAACAAAGGTGTAAACTAGGGTAAGGCCAATGGTGATAGAGGGGAGATGAAGGAGAGGGTATAGAGGTGGCACTGATTAGACTTGGGATATAAGAGGTGAGGGGAGAGGGAAGGATTGAAAATAAATATGGCAGATCCAGTGAATTGTTGTCCCAATGATACAATCGGTTTAGAAGGAAAGATTATCAGCTCAGTCAGAGAGCTGGCAAGCTTTCCTGTTGGCCCAAGTGTCCCAATGCCTCATGGCCCCTGCCAGGGAGCAGCAGATGCAGAGAGGGGACAGGTGAAACGGGGTCAAAGAGAAAAGAGCAAGCCCACCTGGTTCTTGCGGTAGTCCTCCTGGGAATGCCTCAGGACACGGTAGCAGAGACGGAACATATGTTGGTAGGGGGCATTCTTCTGGTCAGATAACTCCTCCAGCCTTACCAGTGGACCTTCACCACCCTTGTCCCGGAATGGGGCCTTCAGGATTCCAAAGATCTAGGGGCCCAGATGACAGAAAAAGAAGAAAGTGAAGCCCCAAATCCTAATCTTAACCCCTAAACAACCCTAGGTCCTACCGTCATCCTACTCTTCAGCCTACCCTGAATTTTAAACCTTATCTTAAAACTCTTCCCCCTCGTTTTTTTGTTCTGAACTTAATAAATATCAAATTAGACAGGCATTTCCATACATGTATTAGAAATGAAAAAGAGGATTGTATATGAAACTGTAGATCTCTATTATGTACAGCTTGATTTCCTTTTTAAAGATATAATAAATTTAAGTTATAGTTTTCAAAGCTGTCCTGTTTGTGCTTCTTTCTGAACTTGTCTTCTCTGCATTAAAAAAAAATGCCTTAATGATCTTTTTTCTTCCCTTTTTTCCCTTCTTATTACCCACACCCTATTCTCCCTCACCCTTCCACCCACTACCATAAGAATGAGAGAGAGAGAAAGGAAGGAAGGAAGAAAAAGGAAGAAAGGAAGAGAAAGAAAGAAAAAAGATAGAGAAAGAAAGAGAGGAAGGAAGGAAGGAAGGAATCCCCAACTGATAAATGGTCAAAGGATATGAACAGACAGTTCTCAGATGAAGAAATTAAAGCCATCTCTAGTCATATGAAAAAATGCTCTAAATCACTATTGATTAGAGAAATGCAAATCAAAACAACTCTGAGGTACCATATCACACCTATCAGATTGGCCAACATGACAAAACAGGAAAATGATAAATGTTTGAGAAGATGTAGGAAAACTGCAACAAA